TTATTGCAATATTATAACTAGTTTTCTAAGTTTTATTTATGTTTGTACGATGTTGTACATTGACAAAACACCAGTTGCTACTTTCAACCTGTTAATATTCTAGTAAAAACATTAATACTAAACATTTAAGCCAAATGCTAAACTAGAACTAGTGGTATACTACCTAGCTTATAACACATTCGGTGCGGTAAAAATATCAGTGGGTACTTCCCCAGGCCTGAAAATATTTTTAAAATCTTAGCTAGCAACGCACACGCAATAACTTCCGTCTACTCCTTAAGGCCGTGCGAAAGACCGGGCCGGCCTGCACGCAAGTTTCACGGCCGGTCCTCGGTGACCAGCCTGCACTCAACATGTTTAGTTTGTAATGATGACATTTATTAACAAGTTAAATCAATCTAATCTAATTTTATTTGTAATATTTGATGCAGGGCCTTCAGCTGGTGCCCGTCTTCAGAACCCAAACAGCGCAAAAAGGACGATGAACAAATTCAAAAGTTAGTATTTAGTATAAAATATTACGATTTATCTCCACACAAATTTTGTTGAATTTTAATAATATCTGTAGCCCTACTTTTATAACACTTGATTTTGGATTTCTCTCTTTGGATGTTTCATTAGAGTTTTAATTGTTTTAAATATTTTAATTCTATCAATTCCCTAAAATTATACTTAATGTAAATTTGTTGTAACATCCCACCATTTTCTTAGTTTTGGATTATGTTGGCATCCTTATTGTAACATTTAACCAGCTGTTTGACGAGCCAAGTGAAATTGCAATAACTTTTTTTCAAACAAATTTGTTACTGCTGAGAGTTTGTTCTATAATGGAAGGCCACAACCTCAAGAGCTAGCAGTTTTGTTTGGACTTATAAACTGTTTTTTGACTGTGTAGTTTTTGGATTAGCATTTTATTGGTGAGTGTTTCATGGCGAGAGTAATACATGTGATCACCAGCCATAATTCATCTAATGATTCACAATAACAGTGACAGTAAACACAATCCAACAGTCATAATATACACTTTTTCCAAAGATAGGCAAGAGCGTTCTTAAAATTAACAATTCACATCAAAGTTATATGACAAATATATATACAGGTATATTAATATATATATATGTATAAGATATATATATGTATATATATACAAATGTATATCATGCCACGGCGTGGTGCTAAGAAAATGTTCTCACTAAATTGAGCCTGCCAGCTGTGCTGCCTTCTGCCCACACATCCGCATTAGCTTCTTATGCTACTGTGCATCTTAATGTTTGGGTTTTCACTTGTGCAACGGACTTTAATATATTCTAAACAGTTTCTAGTGCAATTGGTAATTATTTATCATCACAAACCTAATATTATATTATTTCAGATTTTAAGCTACAAAAACCAGTTGGAGACGAAGACTCAGAGGAAGAGGAGTCCACTTTTAGTGGCTCTGAAGAAGGTATATATTACAGTATTAAAAATAATGAGTCAGCTATAAAAACTATTATTTGATGTAAAAACACTTCTTAGATTGTTGACATATAATTCTTACGATATTACATATGCAAAGCAGCAAACAAATGTGATAGTCAGACTATGTTTTTCGCTTACATTACTTCACAGTATTTATTTCAGTAATATACTCCTGATTAAAATGTCTTAAGGATGAGTTCAATGGTAAAACATTTAATATTTCTCTTCCAAAATTCACTTAATCCAATGAGTTTACTTATGAAGTAATCATAATGATGAACCTTCTATTCAGAAAGTACATCAACAACCTTTTTATTTTACGGAAATGCCTCCTTTGTATTAAATGCTTATTGTCAATTTCCCATATCGCAAGACTCAAGAGTCGTGTTAAATTATTAACCTGGAACTGCCAAGGTTAGCCTAGAATATCTAGGTTAAAGGAAATCTCAGATGAATTCCATAAACTCATGTCCATATTCACCAAGACAAAGAGAAATTGAAGAATGTAGCTAAACCCGAAGTGGTAGCAATAAATTTAGATGTTCAGCTGTTCTGTTAGCAATGCTTAGCCAACTGGAAATTTTACTCAAAAGAGTTTCCATAATCTATCGGACGTTTTCATCTCAAGAAAACAGTCAGTAAAAAATGTGTGACTCTCATCAGGGGTAATTTCAACTATCTTGTTGCTTTTATGACACAAAAATACAGTGTGTCATCAAATGAAATGTTTCGACACAAATAATTACCATGAAAGGTTTCCAGGTGAAGACGACCAATCCAGCTCAAGAATATTGATTCCGAGAACTCATGGTGAGTTTAGTCATTATTTGCATTTTACAAGTCATATTTTACATAACTTGTGTGTACAATATGATCTCCATGTTGATGGTCTGGTTACTTTGCTCTGATGTTGACTGAAGGTTTATTTAAATTTAGGGTGAATGTTTGTGCGGTTTGAGTTACGATTTCAGAGGGCAGGCAGTAATGCACAAGAAGCTGTTATACAGTAAAGTGTCGATTATCCTACCTGAACTGGCCACAGTAAGGTCGGATAACACAGATAATTATAAAAATGTTAACGCTGGCGCTGTGAGGATGAGTTGACGATTGCGTTGCGAGCGTTGGTCATGTTGACAATTGTGTCTTGATCGAGGGAGAGTTTAAAAAAAATTTGGTTGAGATAATAAAAAATCGCAATGAAAATTTGGGAAAAAATTGTCATTTTTATTTGAGAAATGAGGTGACACCATGACATTGCAGAGGAGGTTAACTCGGATGGTCTGATAACTGTGACTACTGTATTTGATTTAAATACTTTTTAATCAGGAACCATTACATGAAATGAAGTAAACCGCAAAATGCACTCTATGCTCAGAAGCATACCTTAAACTTCAAATTAATTCGTCTTTGGCTATTATTTAAAGATGAGGAAAATATTAAAATCTTGCTACTAAAAGGAGAAATAACTGCCATAAATTACTCTTAAGGCTAGATGGTGTTTATTTCAAGCAATAAAACGTTCTATGTCAGGAGAAAATAATGTAGTAAATACAGAAAATGGCTAGTTTATGCAAGAAAAAAACGGTAAGATTATGTAAGATGTGTTTATTATGTAAAGTTAAAATATTATACATATTCTATATTATAAATTAAGATCTGGAATTGATGTTTGTAGTTTGCAACAACTTTTTTTTTAGATTAAAAACTACAAAGATAAATGTTTGTAAAAATTGCAGGGATGCTAAGAGGAAACCCATTTGAGCAAAAAAGAGGCTTCTTGTGGAAGGGACAGATGGCTTCATCAGCAGCTTCAGCAAAAGAAGTTCTTAACAGGTAAAAGACAGACACTATGTAAATCTACAACTAATGCGTAGGGTTTATTTTTACACATTTGCTGCTACAGACGTTCCGGAACATCAGCGGCGCCAGGAGTTAGGAACGTTCCAGAACGTCACCGTTTATTGTTGTTTAACGTTTCCTTGGATCAGCCAGCTCGTCACGAGCGTCCTATATTTCTTTGCGTGGGGACGTACTTTTCTAACAATAAAAAATATAGTTTCCCAAAATCACCACCAGGGTCGTTTAGATCAGGGCTTTGTCCCACCTCTTTCCTGCTAGATAGCGACACTACTTTACCGACTGCAGCCTGGGTAGTGCTGTTATCTATCAGAATCACTTAGTACTAAGTCCAAAGCCAGTTTTATTGTAGAACTCTGCTATCCAGTATAACTACGGTTGTTTTTACTATAATTCAGTGATCAGCGGCAATGTTACGCAGTGGCGAGCGCTAGTTCAGCTCCTGGCGCCGTCCCGGCATCTAGCGGTCAGCAGCGAACGTGTTAAAAGATTTTATTCACTATGAATGTCCTAACACAGTGATCATTTTAAACACTAGGTCAGTACCGAAATTTGTGTGTTAGTATTTCATATATATACCAGGCAATATTTCCTACAACAGAATTTCTCAGCTCATCCTACATGTAACATTTCAAACGTGTTTTGATCACATTTATGTATTTTTACTTACAGTTTGAAATGCAAAAATTACCAATGCAGGTAAATTTCTTTGAAGGTATTACTTTTGAATATTTGACATAATAATCATTAACTCTAAAAATTGATCAAATTTGTTACCAATTAAACAAATAATTGGTGTTTGCATATGTGATGATTTTATTACTTTTACTATTTTATTACACTTGGTAAAATGGAATGTAATAACTTTATTTTTTCAGGGATATTTTTTTAGTGAGAGCAGGCAAGTACCTCTCAATTGCTGCAGCTAAACCATTCCTATTGTCATTAGAAAAATGCAAAATATTAAGAAGTGACTTCAGAGAATACTACCAATGTGGATAAAAAATAAATTGTTGCCAAAACTGTGCTTCTTCTTTTGAAAATGAGTGTAGATAAATATAAAAAAAAACATTTGCCAACACACTTTCTGGTCAATACAATAGAACCTCCCATATCTAACTTAGACATTATTGACTTCATCTTTCTGTTTCAAACCTACACCCACGTTTCTACTTGCATTTGCTGGGCAAGTCTCTGAATAGAGAAACCTTTGTTACCACATTTTTTTAAATTCATTTTAGGGGTTTTACAACCAAATTCGACCATTCTCTCGCTTTAAATTTGTTTATCGATCATCTGGTTCTTGTTTTTTGGCCCCGCTTTTATTTTTTGTACGTTTCTTTCTTATCTTTGACTATAACATATCTTTGTTGCAGTCACACACTCAACAGATATGAGGGGTTCAACTAATAATGAATATCTTTCCTGAGGAAAAATAATAATTTATAATATATTAAAAAATTACATGTCAAATAGTTCTTAGGTATTTAAAAATAAACTATTTATTCATGTTTCTGACTAAGATAGTGTATACAAGAAAATGTATATTTATATTAATAACCTATATTATAGCTCAACAATTTCTGTATGAGAGAGTTTCTACCTATTCTGTTTAATCACTTTAAATTATTTTAATAGTTAGTACAAAGTAAATAAAATAAATGGAAATAAAACTCCAGGGGTACATGTTGTATGGTTAGATTTTACTAGTATCAGCCAACAATTCCAAGACCCCATACACTTGTTTTACAGTCCAAGGCTCTCTAAACTAAGCTATTTATTGAATGTAATAAATTTTAAATTACAGAATAAATTTACGGATTGTTGAATAATTCTGGTAATTCTTGATTTTCCATTACAATACCTAATTCGCTAAAGAGATGGTCAGGATCGTCAATGCCATTAAAAAAATTGTCAACCTCCTCATTTGTAAGAATGGAATCGTCTTCTAATTCAATCCACAAATCTATTTCCATTTCCTCTTCATTCATGGGCTCAGGTTCTGGTTCATTATTGTCGGTTCCAACTACTTCTGGCAAAACAATTTCATCCTTTGGAGGTTTTTGTTTTGGCTCTCTTTTTTTGTACTTTTTCCTAACAAGTTTTCGTTTTACGTACTTCCGTTTGGGTTTTAGAGGTAATTCGTTTTTGTCTACCTTTGGCTTTTTATTCTTTGTGTTACCACATTCTATCTTATTCGATGTTTCTCCTGCTTCAGTGGATTCATCGGGCAACTCAGTTTTTGGTTGAGTAATATTAGAGATATCTAAATCATTTTCCACTTTTATATCTTCTACACGGACAGGCAAGGCACACATTAGGGAAGTATTAGGGGTATTTTGAACATTCACTCCTAAAGTACTTTCTTTATGTTTCCTTTTGGTGTATTTCCGTTTTACCCTTTGTACTTGTACAGAAGGAACTTCTTTGGACTTTACCTCTGGACCAATATCAATAACTAGTCCAGAATCACAACTATCTTCTACTTCAGTTTTAATAACAGTTTTTATCATTTTGACATTACTATCAGGTTTAACTTTTTTATCCTCAGGATTCTTTTTTCGTCTTCTTTTAAAACCAGTTGCCCTTGATCCACTAGGGTTAAAGATGTTGACCATACATGGACTTGGATTGTCAACTTGTGAAGGGTCCAACTGTGGATTTACCATCAAGCTTGATACATGCGGTGAAAACTTTCCTAGCACCTACGATGAGAGTGTTAATATTAGATCATTTGACAGATTAATGATACTGTATTTAATTAAATGAAACAAAATGAACTATAGATGAATATTTTACTACAGAGGATTGAATTAAGGTAAAAATCAATTTCATTTGCTATGATTAGATCCCGTTACTTTACCTGTATGAAAAATATAATCTCTAATAAGAATTATAATTTCATTACTATGCCCAAAATTTTGGTGGGGCAAAAAAATGTGTACTTAATTTTCTGCAAATGTAAGCTTTTTGACCATAATTTTCTTTTGGTATGTTATTTAAACAAATTTATACCTTTCTATTCTTTCCTCTTTTTAGTACAATTTTTATCTGCTTATTGAGTAGCTGAGTGGTTGTAGTACTCTACTCACTTAACAATCAATTATGGTGCCGGATCGATCCTGAAAAAAGTTAGTAGCTTTTTGATGGTTTTAAAGTCGAAACTTAACCCAGCTGTCATCGGGCTTTTTAATAAATTATTAGGCCTAAATGAAACAGCTTAGTCAGTAACCAAGCTACACAGATCATCTCACGCCATCATACTCATATTTGGGTAAAAATAAGCACCTATGTCACGTCCCCATCTCAGAATTGATAATGATAACATCGATCTTACCAAGTTTTCTTATGGCTAGGGAGTTTTGGGATAAGTTATGCATTTACAAAGGTAAATCTTATCTAATCTAACAGAGAACCTTTCCCTCACCAACTGATGTTATATCTTATAATATTTTTTAATTGTTTGAAACTGTCCATCTCATTTTCGGTCATGTAGCTCTCAAATGGCAATGGCTAAATACACAGCTAGTCCTTGGCAGTAACAAAACTAAATGCTTCTAAATTTTTCTACATCAATCTTTTACTCACATTCAGTATAAAATGAGCCTCTTATCCCTATTCGAAAGTATGCAATTGAATGATAGCGACACTAGTTATTTGTGTAACTAGCGGGCGAAGTAGCACTTTGCTGCAAATAATTACGCACGAGCCGTAGGTGAGTGTGGAAAGTTTCTCGAGTGCAGCAAAGGCATTTTGCACTCGTGTTACACATTATATTTTTCCTACAGTTACTAAAAAGCATATAAATAATAGTCTTTCAAACATTGTATAACTATAGAGATGAATAGAATATAACTGGACTCACTACTCTCTGGTTGAACATAAAAAAGTGCCATTAAGATGGCCGCTTGCTGTGTTTTGTTGGTCACACTGTCTCGGTTGGTTGGACTTGTCAAAAATAACCCCATCTGATTGGTTCGAATTTGTCAGCTATCCAACCAACCGATCAAAGGCCAACATAACAACACAAATAACTGGAAAAAAAAACAGCAAAACAGTGTACGCTTTTTAAACACAGAGTGGCGACTCCAGTTGTAATTATAGCTCAGTGTGTACAACACGTGTTTAGGTTAGGTTAAATCTAAACATTGAACAAAATGGGAAAACGCTGCACCAGCTGATCGTAGTTGTACTATCTTTAAGTGTTGCCAACTTATTTTCAAGCGTACACATATTACGTGCCTAATAAAAGCACACTGTTTTGTGTTGTTTTGGTTGGAATACTGGTGTGCGGCAAAAGTAAGTATATGCAGCAATTATCAACTTTCTGTACTATAATCAGTGCAAGAAAGGCCACCTTCAGGTGAACTTTTTGTCAGGTAACTGTAGGAAAAATAAACTGTATAAATTGTACTTAACCACAGACAAGGAATTCACCTAACCTGAGAGATGAAAAACTTTTTCTGCACGGCCGGAAGCATCTCCCAGGCTGCGTCGGTGTTGACCTTGATCTGATTCTTGTTCACATCAGGGTTGAGCCAATGCATCAACGTTCGGTTCCTCTTGCTAAACAATGTCTTTGCTGCTCGAGTGACCTCATCTTGTATCATGTTGTCAGTCATTGTCGTGTAAATCTGAAATGGGGAAATTAAAACTTTAAGGAATTATCATTTTGAAAATACTGTTTGAATATTTTTGGGTAGCCTACAAATGAAGATTTGAAACTTTACCCCGATGTATTTTATCATCTGGTTATTCCCTGATACACTGAGTAACCACGTGCATTTTGTAACTCAGCTTAAAATGAAGGTTTAATCCTATACATCAATTCTGTACCAAGTTGTTGTTGGTCATTACAATACTAATTAGTAATGCTTTCAACAGATCAACTTTAGACACTAACATTACCTGTGATGGATAATTTCTGTTAAACAAAATAAAAACATGTAATACGTGTAATAGCTTTAAATACTTGGATGCAAAAAACACTTCCTAATTTAAGAGGAAACTGGTATTAAGTTATTAAATAAAACCCCAAAGAAAACTAAATCTGTGTCATTATAGGAAGTATTTATCCTACAGAATCTACAAAGTGATATTAATATTGTATTCAAATGTTGATATTTTTACTATTTAAAACCAAACTAAATGTTTTGGCAAACAATAATATTCGAGGGCTATTCAGAAAATATAGAACGTTTTAGGATTAAACTAAACGTTTGTGCAAGGAAAGAGTATCACTGTATCATTTTTTCATTGTGTTTTTTGTTATTTGTTTGTTTTCTACACTAATGACATTTTTCGAATGTTTTTGAAATGTAATGGCCCAAACCCTGGTCTTGTTACTATCTAACATCGACTTTTTTGTTAGATAACATCTAATTCATAGCTCGATGACAAATGGCATATGGGTCAGGAAACACCCTATCTTGGAATCGAACCAGCGACCTTCAGATTTCCTTTTATATCACCTCTCGGCTACCCAGACAATTAATAATTGTGTCTATCCACACCATTGGTATTTTATCCAGTTTTGAGAGAAAACTGTCCAAAACCTCATTTAAAAGAGCAACTAAAATACTATTCATCTGGCCAAACTAATTGAGGCCTTTAATAATTATTGCGCTTTGAAATCCCTTTTTCATAGAATCCCGCTGCCTGCGAGCTCGGCAATCTAGTTATAAGCAATTGGTGCTCCTAGTTGTCATTGAAGCGCCATTCTGTTTACCAAGTTTTCATTTTGTGACAAAATAAAGTCACTAGGAGCCAGGTACGGAACTGTAGAAAGGGTAGTTGAGTGAAAACCTTTTTGAATGAATGAACGGGATCTTGTTTGCTATTTGCTGTGTGATGTTGGACATTGCCATGAACAACTTTTTGGACATAAACTTTAGTTTAGCAATTTTGAAACTGATGGCATTTCAAGGCAGAACCTTCATTTATTGTATTCAGTTATTACATCACAACTAGCGGGATTGTCAACTGTAGCACACTTTTTAAACTTAAATTGCAAAAACGGGCGCAACAACATTTCCGCTCTGACGGCTGGACAGCTATTTAGGAGGTGAACACTAAAATTCTTTCTTAATAGGCATAGTATTTTCTTAACTACCTGTTCATAGCCAGGATTTGCTGATAGTGAAAACAGATCATAGCTAGTGTTATTTAGAGCGTATTGTGACATTCTTCTTCTTGCTCCTCCCTCAATAGGCACTGGCGGTGAAAAGTCACATTCCTGTGGTGGTAAAAACAAACCAACGACAGATTAGAATCATAGGTAAAACATACTCTCTAATATTTGACATCATGAGGATTATCTGGAAAGAATTCTAAGAGTGTTTCTGTCCAATATAATTTTGTTTTGATGTTTGTTTCATTGACTTACATAAACAAAATATTTTGAGATTTTAACCAAGTAAAAGCTCTTCACAATCTATAAACCATCCCTTACCTGGTAATAAAACTGTATAGCCAAAAGAGTATAGAATTCATTGTACAATTAACTCAGATAAAACAGAGAAATATTTAGTAGGCATCACACTCAAGAGTTATCGAACATCAAAATATGATCATGATTTTACAACGTAGGAAAAAAAGTATACTTGCAATATTCAAAGTTTATGTCATGACTATGATGCTACAATATGAATTAGTTACTGTATTCTAAATAACTTATCATTGTCTTCTCCAAAATTGTTATTTTCTTAAATTTAACCTATTTCTAATGATCAGAGCTATCTAACACCTAACGCCACAACCACAATAAAGCTGCCATACCTGATTTTGGATGTACGGTGGTAAAACGTTGTTGACAGGATACATCTGTTGGTAGGAAGTACAGGGAGGTAAGTACGGGGGTGGGAGATAGTTTGGGGTTTGATAAGCCCAACCAGGGTTCTCATAATTATTTGCCATACAGTCCGCTGCAACTGGTGCCACTGGAACAGGTTTTGACAATGGCTGCCAATAGTTCAGGGCAGGCTCTCCAAACTCTTCCTGAAATTAGTAAGGAAATTCTTAAGTATGGGCACTTTTCTTAAGTATAAAAGATGTTGAACCCGTTCAACTGCACTTGATATGTTTACATCTATAGGTTTGGCTACTACTCTAATCAACAAAAGAAACGGACATGACAAGGAATGGAAATAACAGACAAATTCTTGTGCCAGGGCTACTCCGTATGGGACACGGGAAGGAATCTGATAGGAACAATTTCTTTCTATAGTATGCACGCATAGGTAGCCAAAAAATTCCTAACTGAGCTCATATTTCATCCAAAAAGAAAGTTCCTGTCCCGTGTCCATTTTATTTCCATTTCCTGCCTAGTACAGTCCAACTGTCTACATGGGAAAGGACACTACATGCAGCGTAACAAAACATGACTATAAGAAAGATTTAATGCTCTTTTGGGAATTAACCAGAATCCGCAAGTGTAATGGCATGTCGTGTCATTTTGCCGCGTGTTGTGTCCTGTCTAGTTTATAGCAGCTTCCATTTGATAACATAGAGAAAATTCACTAGAAAACAACTTTTTTTCTTTTCTGTCTAGTCTAGCTTTGCATCTACTTCTGGTTTTCAAGTTATAATAATACACTGCTCTTAATGCTACTTTAAGTATTTTAAGATAAAGCAAAATGTTGATATCTGACTCCATCGCATTATCTATTTCAATAAAATTATCGAAAACAAAACTTAGCTTAGTTAGAAACCAAACTTTCCATATCAAATATAATGATACATCAATGTTAATGCACCGCTACTTAAGTTATAGTGTTTTAAGATTATGAAACTAAATAACAACTTAATTTTATAAGTTTCTAACTAGATTTAACTTTAGGTTGGCACTACTGGATATGTATGACAATATTTTGATGTTTTATATACTTTGTCTGACCATTGTATATTTTATTTGAAATAAGGAGGTGCAAGTGACATCATATTTAACTTCATTAGAAACTGTCAGTAAAATATTTAATTTAAATGACTAAGTGAATTCTATGTAGATATAACAAATATATTCTTGTTCCTTCACATTCACATAAGTCTCTGTTGTTTACACACACAAAATCAAAATAATCAAAACCAATCAAAACTTACTTCTGGAATATTTATTTCTGTTATATTAATTTTCAATAAACCCAACTAGTTGCACTATCTTGACGAGCTTCAATATTTTTCAATCACTTAAAACCAAATTTCAAAATTTTTAATTACTTCACTCAAGTGTTCTATTTTTGTTAGTTGTGTCAAAAAGTCAACATTATATCACAACAAGAACACATCAGCTGACTTCAGAATCTTTCATTTCAGAAGACATGTTCACAGTTCAAATTAATTTAATTTTAGAAGTCCTGCTTTCTATTACAACTATAACAAATTCACAAATGAAAAAATGTTTGAATTTATTTTTGATGTTTTTACAGTAAGGCTGGCTTATAATTTTAATTTGTTCATTTGAATTAAATTATTTTTATTACCTTGTTTATAAGTTCAGATTAACAACTCAAGTGCTGTAATAATTCTAACACAAAACAAAATGTATAGTTTTTGCTTATTTCAACACCCATTACAAGGCACAAAGCATACAGATAGGCCTACACATATGATGAACAACCATGCCGTAATAGTATATTACGTTACGGTAAGTGATGTTTTACCGTGCGAGCATGATAGTTGTCTTTAATCATTGGGCTTTTAAATATTGCAAAAGCTCTCAACATTCTAAATCTAATTTGTTTCCAACGACTGTGTGATTTTGTGCTCTTAACATATCAGAGCTTGCAATGGAGGGGGAAAAATTAATTTTTAACTATTATTTAGAAGTTAAAATCGCATGTGAAAAAGACTAATTTACAGAATTTCAAAATGATTTTTTAAATACTTAAAGAAATAATTAAGAATTTTCAGTTCATCCAGTGCATAGTTAGGATCTTTTTGAATTTATTTTAACTCAGTTTATTTTATCGTCAGTTTATTTTAACTCGATAAACACTTTAACAATGCCACGAGGTTCTTTTTTGTAGGATCATGTTTACACAGTAACCAGCCGGCGGGTGGAACTCTCTTAGCCGACAGCTGATAAATACATTAGGCTAAAAAAGTGGTGGGAACCCAGAAAAACTTCCTCAAACCGCCAAAATTTTGTGAACGGAGTAGAAGATAGTCAGCAACACTCATCTTCTGGGTTGAAATACTCATTAGTTAAAAAAAAATATGAAGTTCCAGTGTAAAAGTGAAATAAGTGATCACCTACATTAAGTGATAAACTGAATGTATCACCATAATGTGGTGCAATATTATTAATATTATTTTTCTGCAAAGTTAATTCATATTATACAGGGTAGGGCAATGAAAGCGCCCCAATTTATAAGCAGTACAAACTCAATAATATTCACCCTATGGATATAAATAGCACATCAAAACACAGCTTATCTTTTGCCATTTTAACTTAACAAAGTAATTTTTCCATTTTTGGAGAACGAAATCCTGCAAGT